GAGAGAGAGAGAGAGAGACCAGCACTGCACCCGTTGGGTTTGAAACAGGCTGCAGTGTTTGCCTGCGAGCCCGAACCTGGTGCCGGGAACGTCCGGGTACGGGCGCAGGGCAATGGGGGAAAAGAAGACCCTGTTGAGCTTGACTATAGTCCGACTCTGTGAAATGACTGAGGGGGGGGTTAATGTGCTCGTTAATTTTTAACGACGAGTTGCCCCTGCTCTAGGGAAAAAAAAAAAAAAAAACGAAAGGAAGAAAAAAAAAGGGAAGGGGGGAAAAGTTGGGAAAAGAAAAGGGAACGGCCGCGGATCTAGCCGCGGCCTCGGTCCAGATGCAAGTTTAGAAGCATCTGGACTATGAATAGACTGCAGACTGTTGGTTACAACCAACAGTCTGCTCAGAAATGGCTGGGTACAACCATTTCTGGACTGCGTCTGGTCGCGGGTGAAGGCCAGATGCATAGCCAGGGTTTAGAACTGGGTTCCCCTAGGGGAACATCAAGTTTCCTGGCCCTTGATCGCGAGTTTGATCTAGGGCCAGGCTCTATTATGGGATTTGGCTGGGGGCAAAGTAGTTGCCCTCAGCCTTCAGCCAGCTATGAAAGCTAGCCTGCCACCCAGCAGCCTCACACTTGTGGCAATGCTGCTGGGGCATTCTACTCGAGTAGATGCTGGCTGGCTGACTGCTGATGTGATGACGCGAAAAGCTGGAGGTCTGCAAAAGCACTTGGAGGAAGGAGGAGGCAGCCATAGCTAAAGGTTGGGAGCTTCTTGCCCCACCTTCTGTGATGTGCTGCAGGCTGTGGGGAAGCCGTGGCCTTGAGGTTGCTGCTGGTTTTCTACGAAGGTGCGGCGGAAGCGCTGCCGAAATTGTGCGGCGGCAGCGCTGGTACTCTTGGCGGTACGGTGGAAGCGCTGCCGAAATTGTGCGGCGGCAGCGCTGGTACTCTTGGCGGAACAGCGAAAGCGCTGCCGAAATTGTGCAACGGCAGCGCCGGTATTCTTGGCGGTACAGCGGAAGCGCTGCTGAAATTGTGCGGCGGCAGCACCGATTTTCTCAGCGGTACAGCGGGGGTGCTACTGGATTGTGTGGCAACAGTATTTTGCACAGGACTGCGTGAAGGGGGGTTGGACGTTGCCGCAGGGACGATACCGCCAAGGTGGAAGTGCACTTTGTAATAGAAAGGGTGTGGCGATCGTCTTGTTGAGGACGTTGCGGCACGCGGTACCTGTAAGGACTGTTAAGGCCG